TTATAAGATCGCGGGTGAGGTTTGAATCATGCATATTGCTCTTTCTGCTCAACTTTACAACAACAACAACAACAGTAACTATAACAAGCCATTGCTCGACTAGGTGGGGTCGGATATTTGAAGTTTTTTCTTTTTCTTAAATTGTGTCATGTTGTGTTATGATACAACTAAAATATATAGTATTTTAGTCACAGTTTTATACCTTTTTTGAGATATTGTGATTTAATGAAAGATATTTGTGTGTTTCTCTTCAGGTACAATCAAATGGATGAAAAATAGTAAAAATATTGAAAAATGATCAAATTTGGAACAAAAATGAAGAATGTGCAAAAAATGAACTGAGACACCTAAGCGCACAGGACTGGCTCTTACGCGCCAGTTATACAAAGGGAGCCGTGTCTAAGCACTAGGTACCCCGCACTTAAGCGCCAGAAGTAGTTATTTGATGATTCATTGAAATTGGACAAATTTTTTAAGAGGTGTTTGAAGTAACCCTTGGTAAAAACGTGCGAAGTAGTTCATGGACACGAAAATTAATTCGATTGACTTTTGAAATGAGACAACTTCTAGAAGATTCATTGAATAGAGACACATTTTAAAGACACACCAAGGCACCCATTAGATTTTTATTAAAGAAGACTTGTATCATCAAAGGATAAGGTCAGCCAACAACCAATCATTCATCCATTCTAAGTAGTCGTCGCCGCTGCCGCCGACCTCTGTTGTCGCTGACCACCTTTTTTTTATTTAGAGTTTTAGTTTGTATTGTGAGTGAAGGAAGAGAATTTGAAGAAACTTCAAGATATTTGGTGCAGAGAATTTGAGATAAGTGTTTATCTTTGTGACTACATTTGATTTTGATTTACACTTCTTGTTTGTGTGCATGATTTCTACTTTTAAACTCAAGTGTAGTTGTGTTTTCTCCATGGATTCTGAGTAACTTTCTTTATATTTTTCCTTAAAATGATAAGTGATTAAATATTGAAAGGAATTGTGTGAAGTAATAGACTTTAATGTTGGAAGAAGTTGTGATGATTTTAAACTTTGTACTTTATTTACTTCTTGATTTGACAAATTAAAATGTTAATACCAGTTGCGAGAACATGTAAGATCTGAGATGGTATTGTGTCGGTCAACAAATGGTAGGAGTCACATTTGATTTCATGGATGAGAATGTAGTTAATGGGTTTGAGTGCAAATAAATAGAGAAATAAGTTTGAAGGGTGTAGAATTAGAGGACTTTAGTGTGACAGACTAAAACCCCCAATTTGATTTATAGTTTTAGGTTCTGGTATGAGATGTTAGCCTCAAGTTGAGGGAGAATATGGAACTCTAGAGTGAGAGCTAATATCTTCCCTACCTAACCAGTTTTCAAAATTATTCAAACTATCGATTAGCCAATGTTATTTATAACATCTCTAGTAATATTATTGCTTCTATTTGGCAAAACACAATTTAGAATACTTCCACAACAGAATTTCTATACTTGCTACTAATTCAGGATGAGAAAAAATATATTTTATTTATATCACATTCATGTTGCAAGTATTTAGTTAAGTTAATTAGTTGCTTACTTTATTTTCAATTATAAAAAATTTACAAAAAGAATCGAATTTTCATTCCTATTATAACATCTAGAGTTTAAGTAAGAATATTTTATTAAGAAAAATTTTGTTATCTAATTTCTCTTGTTTTGTAAGTTGCATATAGTATTTATCCCTATAGTTTCGATATTATGGGCCCAATCAAAAAGTATTATATTACTTGATAACGATATGTATACTTGAGTAGTATCTCATAATTAAATATTATAATTTTATTCAAATTTGTTTCATAGTGAAAAATTTACCTAGCTTTTGCTTGGTATCAAGTTTTTTGCTTTGTTACAAAGTAAGAATCATTATTAAGGAAATTAAGCATATAATCACATACATTGCATCTAACATCTATATAGAACATCAGGATCATGTTACACAATAATTTAAAGGATTAATATAATTTTTTTTCTATAAAATTTTTTTATTGGTCGTCGGCTACCGAACACAATCCTCTTTTTACACGACTTTCTCGAAGGAAAAAAAAAATCTTTGGCTTGTTAATTTATCAATTTCTCAAAGTAAATGATTTCTGAGTTAGATTTATTAGAGTTGGACATAAAATTTAACTCTTAATTATTATAGAATGTATTTATAGGCATTTAAAGTTCAAGCATAAATTTATAAGAAGTCTTTAAAATCACATCAATATCAATCTACACAACTTTTATTTATCATTTTTAAACTTTATCTTAACTGCTAATTGTCTTAAATTTCTGAATTTTTTGATAGAATGAGCTAACTCATGAAATGTGATTTAAGTTTGCGCTCAACTAATTGATTGAGTTAAGCTCAAATCTAAGATGACTTTAGTTAATTCCAACACAAGTCAACTATTTATGTAACACTAATTATACCAATCATATTTGATGCGTCACAAAAAAACAAAATCGCCTTGTTCATGCACAATTCTCATTAAATCTTGGAATTACAAGTTTTTAGAATTGAATTAAGGATAATTGAAACTCCAATTTTAGCAAAATTTAAAGTCAAATTGAAAGTCTCGATGAAGCGAACCAAGAGTGATTTGGTCCGAGTCAATTGAGCCCAAAACAAGCACTTGAAGCATATAGGAAACTTAGGGGCATTAATTGAAAAATAAAATGACCTTCAAATCATAAAAGCTTATAGTCAAATTGGGCATCTCAGAGAAATGAGTCCAATCAACCTAAAATTATTTAATTTTGTGATCATTAGTGCAACCAAATACACCAAAAAATTTTCATTGCACCATATATTAGGGAGGCGCGACGTCTAGGATGATGCTTTATTTCTTTAGTTGCTTCGTGATTTGGGGTCCTGGTTGTTGTTTTGTACTGTGCTTCCTCGCAAGGAGCAAAACGACGGCTGATGGTGGTCAATGACCAGACAAGCTGTGGCCAGTGGTGGTCGACAGCTACAGGAGCAGGAGATGTTTTACAGATCGTTGATCTATAATCATGGGCTTTAGCTCCCTCTTCTTTAGGCTTTATCCTTCCTCTTTTTTTAGGATCTAGTCCTCTTTTCAAGAGTGGTTAGAGCTCTATTTTTAAAGCCCAAGTTATAAATAAATAAGAAATTCAAATCACTTTGATTGGACAACCCAAAGAGATCCACTAGATTGAACTACATTTGACGGATATTTGAGTGTCTTAATGATGTCGGAATTGAGCGGCCTTGGACTCATCGAATTTGTCTTGTCAATACGTTCAATTTGACTCTAAGTTTGCTAGATTTGTAATTTGTCAGTCATTCTAATTATTCCCAAAAAGGCTTTGAAATTAATTTAGTGGCTTGATTTAAGCTTGATTTGACTCAGATTTGATCTAGTTTTCCACCTTGTGTCCTTATCATTGAGCCTGCTACCTCCGGTTGTTGCCGCCTTCGGAAACCACCAGTCTTCAATTTTAGCCAAAGTATCCAGTCAACTCTGGTTGTTGCCACCGGCAGCGAACTTCGGCCACTGCAGCCTCCAACAATCGTCATTATGGAATGACGAAGCAACCTGTAAAGCAACACAACCTCTTGAATGTCATGGCAAGCCTGAAGCTAGTGCACCAAAGCTAAAACTACTTACTCTACAAGCGTTTCCTACCATGGGATGATAAGCTCTTTTGTGAACTGATATTATAACTCGATAAATTGTGTAAGCATTTCTCATTTGTGATACTACCATGTGGCAATAAGCTTTTCAGCAAGTGGACATTATAAACCGAGAAACTGTGTAAAACTTTATCTACTGAGACAAGACATTGTATCTGTAATCACTAACTCATTGTGTTTTTTTTTTAACTTTATCAGGATTTCCACGTAAAAAATAATTGTCTTTATTGTTATCTTTTTTCATTTGAGTGTGTATTGGATTCTCATGCAATGCTAGTATGATAATTCATTCTTCTACTGTCATGAATTTTCTACCACGCATCAAGCACTAACCTTAAATCATTCACGTTTAAGTAGAGGGTTATCAACAATGTACAAACATTATGCAATCTCTTATCTTAAGTTGAGTCTTTATCACATCAAAGTCTGGTATCAAATTCTTCTATGATTCTCTCTAAAAATCTCTGGATTCTCTACTCCTCTGTTCCATATATCTCTCTACATTAAAAAAAAAAAAATTCAAGAAAATTTTTCTTAAGATACAATTCAACAACAGAATAGTTGGCTTTTAACTTTTTCCTCACCTCTAATGTTCATCAGGCTTTCCTTAAAAAAATAACTCTTTTTCCATTGTGTGTGTGTGTGTGTGTGTGTGTGTGTGTGTGAAAATATCTTTGCTGTACGTAGTAGTCTCTGGACTTTGAAGATATAATTCTCTATAAACTCAATAGTCTTCCCTCCAATTACCATGCATTCATGGCATCTATTAAGAACAATCTTCAACCTCTGATTCTAGATGATCTTTATGCAATACTATAATGAAGAGCTCAATCAACCTCTAAAGAAATGCAACAGTCGAACCATCTTGCATTCAGATCTCCTCTGGTTCTCATATCAGCACCAAAAATTAATCACAACTCCCTAAAATTCTCTACCATCACTATCAGATACGCAACATATCAGTTCATTATGCATCAAGTGGTATCACTGACATGATAGAACATATCAGCCACCTATAGCCTTGATCACTAAATCAACATGAGTACCAATACCAATTGGTACTTACAATTTGAATTAAGCAAAATAATTGCAACCACAATAAACAAATTTCATTACTAAAATTTCAAAATTATATTGCAAAATCATCTATTAAATCCAGTCTACACAGCCACAAATTTGGCTTTATAATGACAACATAATGTCAACATTCTCTAACCCGTATGGATTCAAAACTGTCACACCTCAACACAACACTTTTTTCAGTCTTCTTCCTATAAAGCTCCTCTCTTTTTCACGCTAATAAAACCCCTCCCGAAACTCCTCAATTCACTCACGCCAATCTCCCTTCTCTCTTCCCCTAAACCATGAACCTCTCATTTACTTCCTCCTCCTTCTTCTTCCTCCTCTTCCTCTTCCCTCTCCAAGCCCACGCTTCCTGCCAAACTACTCCCAACTCCAATGACTTAGAAGAATTTAAAAGCTTCGTTTCCCTCAAATCCATCGCCCTCGTCTCCATCCTTGCTGCCGGAGCCGCCGGCGTCCTCATCCCCATTCTCGGTCGCTCCATCCCCCTCCTCCGACCGGAAAACGACCTCTTTTTCTCCGTCAAATCTTTCGCCGCCGGCGTCATCCTCTCCACCGCCTTCATCCACATCCTCCCCGGCGCCTTCGCTCGTCTCACCTCTCCCTGCCTCCCAACCCATCCATGGCAGGCCTTCCCGTTCGCCGGATTCATCGCTATGTTGTCAGCCATGGGAACCATGATGTTGGATTCTTTTGCCACTGGGTACTATAAAAGATCTCATTTTAAAAAAGCTCGGCTCTTTGATGACGACATGGTGGCTGGAGATACTGAGGCGGCTCATGCAGGGCACCTGCACGTGCATACTCATGCCAGTCATGGACACGCGCATGGGCCGGCGTCCGGCGGAGGGTCGCCGGTGGCGGAGGCGTCGATGGAGGAGAAAATCCGGCACAGGGTTATATCACAGGCAAGCTCTTAAGGAGTGCTCTGTTTTCGTGAGAATTTAGATATTGCAAGAGAACCTTCGATTCATAGAATATTTGCAGAGTGCAAACTTAGTTTTGCAGTTGATTATATTTGTAGGTTTTGGAGTTGGGCATTGTGGTCCATTCTGTAATTATTGGAATTTCACTGGGTACATCTTACAGTGCGAAAACAATAAAGCCTCTAGTGGGAGCCCTGAGTTTCCATCAATTCTTCGAAGGCATTGGACTTGGTGGCTGTATTGTTCAGGTAAATTTTCCATATAAGAGTTTTTTTTTTTTTTTTTTTGCTTTATTAAATCATTTGTTAATTAAACGAATTCATATAATTAATCAGTTTATTTTAAAATAAAAATTTTAATGAAATAATTTTTGAAGATATATTTTAATTCTTTTAAGATTGAAAATCTCTTTTTTATTTTTTTTTATTTTTTTTTTAACTTCGTTGGCTCTTTTCTTCCTCATTATTACTTAACTTAATTCGTGACAGATATGTTGGTGTTGGATTGATGTGTTATTTATTCTCTTATTACTCATTTTTAATTAGCAACGCCAAATGTATATTCGATATATATATCATGGCTCGCTTCTTATACGTCCAATACTTATGTTATTTATATAATATGGCTCGTTGCATAATACTTTGGAGGCATCTACATCCATACCATTCAATTCTTTCGTTTTATGTATCTATTACCTAAAATTTTATATTTACATGCACATCATTCAATTTTTTAATACTACATCAAAAATATCACTCTATAAATATAAAAACATGTCAGAACAAATCTCAAGGAAGATGAACTGCTCATGACGATGAAACTGATGATCAAACATATCTGTTGATGACCGTCTTGAGCTGAATGTTGGCAAAGGAGCCGTCTTGTTTGAGTGATCGATGCAACGTGTCAGGAAATTCTCCATCGGGCGATGATCAGCCCACATGACGATCGATAAGGGGGCTTAATTTCGAATTAGATATCCATCAAATCTTGGACTTACCTGACGATCGATAAACTATTATCGATTAAATTGGTCCCACAGTACACATTTCAATGATGAGGGGAGCAATATATATTTTTGTAATATTGTGAACTTTGACTATAAATAGGAGGTTTATATCATGAATAAACTCTCTTTTATTGTTTTATAATGTGCTCTCTCTCTCTCTCTGATCATTTCTTGGATGTGTTTCCAGACACTTTTGAATTCAACACATTATTACTAATTTTCCGAAAGTGAAATATACATTTTCGTGCATAAGTTCATCACACCAAATTTATGCTATCAATGTAATTAAACATAAATCATTAGGCGTTAGAATATAAAAACATGAAAATTGTGTCATATGTATATAAATTTCCATACTTTAATTTCATTTCATAGAATTTGAATGCATCATAAGTGCCCCAATTACTGATAATCAAAAGTCATATTCAAACCAAACTAAGCTAATGCTTGTTCTTACATTCAATGTCAGGCAAATTTTAGAGCTCGGGCAACAGTGATAATGGCCATCTTCTTCTCATTGACGGCTCCATTTGGAATCGCGTTGGGAATCGCGGTCTCTTCAAGCTACAATTCAGACAGCTCAACAGCACTTATAATTGAAGGTGTGTTTGATGCAGCTTCTGCAGGGATTCTTATATACATGTCTCTCGTAGATTTATTAGCAGCAGATTTTACAAACCCTAGAATGCAGAGCAGTTTGAAGCTTCAGCTTGCAGCGCACCTCGCTCTCCTCCTTGGCTCCGGTTTCATGTCCATTTTAGCTAAATGGGCATAACTCTTTTGTATATTTGAAATAAAATTTGTTTTTTTGCTTGTTCTGAGTGAATAAATTCATGCTTTTTGCATTGTTTATAAGATGAGGTCTTTCTCAAATATTGCTTTTTACATATCTAACACCTAAAAATTTATTTATACATGCTTGCCATGTAAAGTTTTAATAGGGAATATATAAGTTTTGTCTTGGCTAAGCTGCTTTTATGGGGGAGGGAGCCCAACAAACTTATACGTTCTTTTCAAGTTATTCTTAAGCCAAAGCTGAAGGTCTTAAAAATATATTCCATGAAAAGGGATGCGTTCGAGTTTGCTACGTCACCAACAAATTTTCATCATCCGACACGAATTTTGAAGCATAACACAAATCTTAAGACGATATTTTAAGCAAAAAAACATTTAAATCGTGATAGAAAGTAATCCAGAGCTCTGATTTCAACAAACTTATAGTCAAACTGACCGGCTCGAAGAGACGAACCTAATGATATGAAAACTAGTCCAATCCGAGTCAAATGAAGCTCAGATCAAGTCATTAAACCACCTTTGGAAGATTTATGGACACATTTGGAAGGTCAAACGGAAGTCGACACTGGCAAGTTTATACTCGAATTGAGCTGCTCGACAAGACGAATCCAATAAGCCCAACATCACTCAATTCTGATATCGTGAAGTCACTCAAATGTCCATTAAACGCAGCATGATCGACGAAAATTCTCTGGACCGTCCAATTAAAATGGTTGATATTTCTGCATTAATTGCACCAAGAACCATTATAAATAGAGCATCACCCCTCACATGAGAGAGGAGACTTGAGAGAGATCTTGAGGCTTTGAGAAGGAGTTCAAGTCCAACATCATCTCTGTCATCGTCGATCTTCGTCGACAACCACCGACCTTCAGCAACCATCGCCGACCTCCGTCAACCACCGTCGATCACCGCTGACCTCCGTTGACCACCGCCAACCGTTATTGATCACCGTCGAGCATCATCGACGATCAACGACCACCACTTACCTCCGTCTATTACCGTCGGCCGTCATCGACCACCGCCGATCGTCGCTGACATCCGTCGACCACCACTGATTATCATCAACTGTCGTTGATCACCACTAACCAAATGTCTTCAGTCGACGATGTACCTTGAAAAATCTTGTAACTCATTCACGTCTATGGGACAAGGAGCCTGAATCAGACCCCTTGGTTTTTTTTTCTTTTACGGGTTTTCCACGTAAAAACTTATAGTGTCATCACAGTTGATTCTCCTTCATCTGAGTGTGTGTTGAATCCTCGTGCAAAACTAAGACGATAATCCATTACTCTACCGCCGCGAATTTTCTAGCATGCATCAGAGTTTAAATGCGGTTTTGATTTAAAGGTTTTGAAAAATTTTTGGGCGTAAAACACCTTTAATTTTATGCTTTGACACTTAAAAGTTAAACCTATTAGATTTATGACACTTAATATTAAATTTTAGGTGTGAAATAATTACATGCATTCGAATTTTGAGGTATGTATGTAATTTTTTTTTTTTATCTTTGGCATGATTTAGATCAATTTTTGTCATATGATTTAATACCCTCAATTTTGTCCATTTTAAGAAATCTCTATTTTTAATTTATTGCAAAAATTTTGAGGGTGAGTGGTAGAATGCATTGTTAATTAATAATTTTTTAATTAATTTTATCTTAAATTAAACTCTCTAGATAAAACATTAGTTCAGATTAAATCTAACAAAGTATTTTTTTTTTTTTAGAGTTTCTTCTTCCCTTTTTTTTTTCTTTTTTTTAACTAATTGGAAAGGTAAACTCATTATAGAAAGAGTAAATTTATGATCTTTATTAAATATGAATATGTTAAATAAATTATTTTATTTAAATTAATAATATTTTTTGGATTAAAATAAAATCAGTGAATTAAAAAAATGCTTGATAAGTAGTCAATAAGTTATCATCATCCATCCCAAATCTCGATGCATAATATGGATCTGAGGCAATCTTTTGAACTACGAACATACAAATTTTAATTAAAAGTCGCCCAGAGCTCCGATTTTAGCAAATTTATCGATGAGACGGACCTAACAATACCAAAATAAATTAATCTGAGTCAAATCAAGCCATTAAACTATTTTTTGAAAGCTTTCCAGACATGGCCGCCTCTTGCTTTGGCGAGGAACACGAAGAACTTCATCCTATGATTTCTCGTAGGAGAAGCCTTTCACTATTTGTAGGACGGACTATCTATAAAACTTTTTCCATCTTACATCCCCTCCACAATTTTATAGAATGGGCTAACTACAAAGCTTTTCCCGTTCTTCAAGATCAAACTATTCCAAACCAGCCAAGGAAGGTTAGAAGTGTCAAAGCCGAGAGAAATTATGATTCCAACCCGCTAGGAATCGTTTTAAGGCTTGTAACGCAAAGTCACTCGAATTTGCAAAAGAAGTGGCCACGAATGTGCTTCCTAACCTAAAGATTCCCTTAGGAAATAAATGACCAATCAATAGGTGCATGACCGTGTCGACTAGTGTTGACCAACCAACTTGCTTAGCGTAGGCGACCGAACCCACGACGACACGACAAAACTGGCCAATAAAATGGCGTGTGGATGGGTCGACTGGTATTGTTTGGCCTATCAAACCGTCCGATAATGAGCGATCATTTGAGTCAGATGATACATTGTGGCCGGTCAGACCTGTCTCGTGTGGGCGACCAACCCATAAGCAACTAATGAAATCTATTCCTAGGGTGTGCTAAAAAAGAAAAAGCACCAACACAAAGATTGTGGATGTGTTTCTTCTAATAAAATGAAGCTCTTCTAATAATAGAAAAGAGGTCAAAGTTTTGGAGAAGCTCCTATGAGGTCCGCCCCACTCCTTCTCCAAAGAATGAAGAAGATCTCCTTTAGAAGGAGAGTCCTACGAGATTTCAACAAAGTTTCAAGCTCCAGCGAAGTTCCAACGAAGCTCCGGTGATTTTTCCCAAGCTAGAATGAAGCTCTCCTTTGATGTTGGAGAGAAAAAATCTTGCTCCTTGCTAGCCACACCCCTCCTCAAAAAGATTTCCTCACACACTCAAAGAATTGTGGACAAAGAAGAAGATCTTTTGGGTTGGGGATGAAGAAGGAGAGGAAGAAGAAGGAGCAGAAGAAGGTTGGGGAAGGAAGGAAGCCTTCACTGTCTCTTTTCTCTCAAGCTCTTCACCTAAAAGCCTTTAAGTGGAAACTGAAGCTCCATTGAAGAAGATGCTCCAAGCTCCAAGGAATGGAGAAGGTTTTCAGCTGTTGAAGGAGGCCAAAAAATGCTGAAGTGAGGGCATGATGGGTGAAATGTCGAGGAGAAATATCATAAACCAGCCTCTCCCAAATTTCCCCCAAAAATTTTCAAAGATGGCCTTGCCACCTCACCTTATGAGCCTTCAAAAGAGGTATAATTACCTCCTTTATCCAAACCCCCCCCCCCCCCCCAATTAGCCCCCCCCCCCCCCCCCCCCGAGCAAGTCCCAGAAAACCCAAGCATCCTTGTAATTTTGATTGTTTAAGAAGGTATATCGGGTGAAAATATGGAGAAAAGAGGAGCAGAAAATGGCCTAGCACCTAGGCACCTCGATCCTGGTGCTTATTTCCTTGGGTCTAATGCCTAGATAGTAGGCTTGGTGCCTAGGTGCCAAAGGTCTGGAGCCTAATTTCTGGCTCCTCAATTTGAAAATTATGCAATTCATGTAGTTTCGGGCGCTTAGGCTCCCAAAACTGGTGCCTGGGTGCTATAACTGGCATGTGGGCGCCAGGGCCAGGTGTTGGGATGTCTTCCTCTCTGTTTTAAGCCTTGTGGGGACTGTTATGGATGTTTAGGACCCAGGGTATGGTCCTTAGGCGCTAGTCTAGCCCCGAAAAACCTATTTTCAACCGGGAACATTAGGCGAAGGATTTTCTCAATATGAAAGCTATGAGGGACAAAGTATTAGTAAATTATGATCCTCTAACTTCAAAAATGAGTATCTTGCTAGTTCATTGATTGGAGAATTTGTCGTCAACGGGCGTTCTAAACTGCAGCGTGGGTAAGGCATTTCATACCCTGATTCTCGTGTAGTGCGCGTAGTAGGGCTCTGTGACTTATCTTAACCTCGGGGAGGCTCCAAATGGATGTAGATAGAACTCTAAACACCAGGGTGGGTGTCAAACATGTCCAAAGTCTTGGGTGAGACCGTCCAATTGTGAGTTCTCCCAGATAATGACAAATTATCGCATACTTTAATTTCCTGCCTCGAACACATACCAGAGGTCCAGATGGGTGTCTTGAGCTATAGGATGTTATAAATGAGTCATGAATCATCCCGAGCTAGTCGAGTGGACACCCTACACATCTGATAACAAAAAATGACGCTAACAATTCCATTAGGGATGCTTTTCTCTACAAGAATTCTCCTTCGTAGTTGGCTCTGTTTCATGTCCGGAGCATGTTTCACGATTACCACACCACCTTTCAGGATGTTAAATCCAAAATTATTCTTGGGAAATGCACGCCTCGAGAGTCAGATCCGAGAGGAGTAGAGAGAGAGAGAAGAAAGGTGTTAGGAAAATCTCAGTAGAGAGGTCGGGAAAAAGTTCTCAAACCCTGGTGCCATTTTATTCATCGTCGAGCCTCCTATTTACAGAAGGCCTTCTTTTAGAATTACAGAAAGGGAAGAGCAATTATGTAAACAACCTTCAATTACCAAAAAAAGAGGGTGATTATTGAAGTAACCCTCAATTACTGAAAGGAGAGAGTAATTATATAAATCGTTCTTAATACAATCAATGTGTTGATTTAATACTAAATTTATATTACAAATTTAAATTTGAATATGGCGGTAATCAGCCAGTCAACGTGTTTTGATTTGGTCGACCAAAACGACGAGCCTAGTGGAGGTCGTTTCTGCCATGATACAAGCGGTCGGCTGAGTTTGACCTGCTTTTAGGAAGCCTAGACACCCTACACTAGCCGTTCGATTGTTTTGAGATTTGTCCGGAC